TCGGTTGTGGAATGAAGAGGCGACATGGGGCATGAATAGGTACCTCACCTTCACCACCACTGTCCACCGTGCTATCAAATGATAACTATCCGAATGCAGGGGGAACAAGGGCATGGCACAAGCAGTCAAGGCGGGTGTATTGAAATTAAGGTGCGAGGAAGCAATAGACGGACGACCTTATCATGAGGAATCAGCTCTGATAAGGCAAGGCGTTTTTGAACAAGCTCAAGCGCTGAGGGAGGATCCGCGTCAGGGCTTAATCACGCACTTCCCCTCTTTGATTACGCGCCTGCCGGTGCAGCGAACCCCACGGATACACGAGGTTCTCTATTGTCGAGGAGCTTTTCTCTGTCCTGCCGCCTGCGTCTGCAAGTGCTTTCTACATACCTACCATCTGGCTCTAATTTCCGAATGGCATTGCACGAAACACGCACCAGATGGCAAAGAGATGGTCGCTAACAGTCATCAACTGCGCTGAGGCGTATCTTCGGAGGGCTAAGCCACGTTTGTCGGCTATGTGTCGCGCCCGGAGGTCCTTCATAACCGACAAGTCTGATTTAGCGGATGCGGGCCGGAGCCTATGAGTAACATCTGGAGTACATATGTGCACATCTGCGTCCGACTAGAAGGGTGTGTGCTTCCAGTTCCAGATCCCAGGATGAGCAGGTGGTCAGGCACTGTTGGCTGTAGACGGCGGAGAAATGTTTGAAGAGTCCTTCAAAGCTTCTGGGATCGGTTTGCAGTAGCTGGGTGGTATTCTTCCTGGAAGTTCGTGAGCAAAAGAGCACTCCGAAACGGGTTGAAGGAATGCACCTCTTGCATCGAAGGACAGTAGTGTGTCAAAGTCACTGCACGCTTGCCGAAGTAATGTCTTCAGTTCGAGGAGACTTTCCTCGACCTCGGGCGATATAGGAAGACTACCATAAGTCACTTTGGGTCCTTGGGAAACTCATCTTCGTCGTCAGAGTCTAGGTCGGTGGATGTGGTGACCGTGATGACCGATGTTGCCTTGCCCCTGTCGATGATCATAGAGACCCAAGATCGAGCCAAGCCATCCAGTATGGTTAATCGCCAACTGTGCAAACGGGGTGCGCAAACTTCCATTAAGCAAGCAAGGCTTTCAGCGACGATAGTTGGAGGTGTAGTTGGACAGGATCTATCGCAGGGAGGCCGGCAATGGGAGGGCTTTGCGAAGCAATGATCATGGGCTGAACAAGCTGCGGAAATGAGTGTCTGTAGCGGAGTCAATGGGTTTCACGATGGGAACAGCAAGTCGCAGGGTACTCACCCGCAAAAAGCGACAGCAGCCTAGGTCTAGAGTCTTGATCACCTCAGGAAGCGCATCCAGAGTTGCTCGAAGGATATCTGGCTTGTCGAACGCGTATACCCAGATACCCGTGATGATACCGTCACCCAGCAGGGCACATAGCGCGTCGAACCTTTGTTGAGACCCGACTTGTGTCGTAAGGAGGGTCAATCGTACTGTCTGCGATACGGCGAGCCTGATACTTGGCGGAGACAGCGGAGACTCTAATTGCGAGAGAGCTTTCTTGAAGGACTAACGAAAGCAGTTGAGCATACTCCATAGCTTTGACGTTATGAGGAACGTACAGTTCGAAGCAACCCGTCAATCCCAGTTTTCCGGAGGAGCTCGGGGGGAACGCGACTGAGCATCGTGCGCCGCAGTGAACCGTCCCCACAACTTGTACTGGGGGTTGATAGTCGTCGAGAAAGGTCATAAGAGGAGGGATAACCAGATGCCATGCTGTTTCATACGTGCCTTCCTGGTTGGATGTGAGCATGGAGAAGATTAGGTTGGGATTAACTCACCTCAAATGTGCCACGCACCAGTACAGTACGGCCCCCAGTCCAACCCAAGACTTCCAGCGTTGGCCTTCTGGCACAAAGAAGTCCTGGGTCACAGACGAGAAACCACCTTGCTGTGGTGGCCTGAGAACCTGTGATTGGGGTTAGACTCTTTCCCGTTTGTGGGTTGAGATGGGGGTGAGGGTTGGATGCGATAAAAAGTTGGCTTGACATTCTTCTCGAGGATATGCTGCCACAGATCTTGGTCCTGTGCCTCAAGCAACCTGCAAGATATTCTGTACAATTAGTGAATGGGGTTATCACTCGGCGTGTAAAATCGCACCTTGGGCGACGGCAGTAGCGGAAGGGTGATCCAAGGACACTCGGTTTTGAGCGCCGTTCCTTCGTCCTTATACCTAGGGGCCCTCTACGAGCATATTGAGGCGGTTGAAGTCTACAGCCAGAGGTGTTATCGCACAGATTATATCTGCGGTCTGTGCCCTGTCGAGTTGGGGCTTCGCCTTGACATAGATTAGCAGCTCTTTGAGGCAGCAAGATCGAGTCCTTCCCGCCACTTGGTCAAGGCCACTCGTAGCTCTGGAGATGTGTCCTGATATCGGCTGTAGGCGGTAGGAACCGCAAGGACTCGATGATGGTGGTTAAAGGTAAAGATGACATTGGGCGGGACTTTGAAATTACGGGCGCTTGCATCACAGGGAAATTCACTCACTCAGACAATATGCTACATGAGGTTGTGTAATGCCAAAACATACAATGAAGTCAAGGCTCATGACAAGCAGTGAATATAGTGCCTTAGCGCCTACCTTTGCAACGCCTTTTGGCCGCAGCGCCGCCAAGTCTGGCATGAGACGTACTGTGCACGAGCTCGTTTCACTAAATGATATAGTAAAGTGTACATGCATTGATTCAAACGCTAAATGCCCGGAATCAAGCCGGAATCATAGTTGTTATCTCTAAAGCTAAATGTAAACTTTAGCTCTCAATGACAGCACATTGGGATGATATTACCTTTGAGCTTGGTGCGCAAAGAGATTTCCCAGGTGCGGGATATGAACTTTGGTTCGACCTCTTAAGACTTTATGTACAATTAACGAGGTTTTGAAGGAACAAACGCTTCAATGCTCCCTGCTGAAAGAAATTCTCGACACCATTCAGCAAGCGCCCATTGGGTGCCGATACGGCGATCAATCCATCAACATTGGTCATGCGCGTGCCAGCCTGAGCGCTCGTGACGTCTGGGCCGCTCTGCACTCACTAGCCTCATTGAACTCCCCTCTGGCTAGTTTGCACTGTAAAGTCATTGTAGTGAGTACTGAGTTCAATGAAAATGCGGAACATAAGTTGAATTCCACAGCTTCAGGCTCATCTACACGTCCCATATCCATTACTCAAGGCGCAGAATGGATCCCATGCTTACCGACGATGCTATGGCCCCTGCTGCATTTGGGGAACCAGAGCCAGAGCCAGAACTGCTATCGTATGATGATACAGTACCATATGAAGATCAAGTCCAACCGGAATCCGAGGCTACAAGTCTCGCAAACCGAATTGGACGGGGAAAGATCTACCTGCTTGAGGATGCAGCACCTGCGGCAGGTTTGAAGGTGCGCTCAAGCCCATTATTCACCTTCTTCTACCCTTTGACGCGAGGATGTAGAGAAAGCCCATGGCGGTGAAGACGAAGAGGTCATGATGGACGAAGACGGTCTCGACGAAGGTTAACTCTCAACTCGTTCATCTCACAAGTCGAAGGAATTCACAAAGCCACAGACCCAGAAATTCGCTCCAATGCGCTGTTCTTCACAGGTCCCCCCATTGCTCACCTTCCAACCACACGGATATTTGCATACGCTACTCAGTTCGAAGCACATCCGCTCGGACTGGAGTGGGGTGTCCGACACGACGTGTGTCCTCGTCTTCTCGTCCAAAGCGGAGGCGAGGAAGGGCTACCTTGCGCTGCAGAAAGTTCCTGATGAGGAGCCTTCGCTAGAGGATGGAAGCGTAACGGCAAAATCTATTCCGGTTACGTTGTGGCCGGCTGAAGAGCGGATTACTCGTACGCTTGGCTTGGCGTTGGGCGCGGAGGACAAGGAGAGGGAGAACGAGAGAAGGAAGGAGGGTCTTGCTGCTCCTCTTCGGATGCGGTGGGCAAGGATAGACGATGTGAAGAAAAAGGGGGCCAGAAACGAAAGTGAATTCTACAGGAAACACGGCCGTTTGGCAGGGAAGGAGCTTGTCAATGGGCGGGATATGCCCAGCCTTCCGGGGGATAGAAAGCGACGACGTGAGGACGAAGACGAAGAAGCTACACGCGCTCGTTTGGACAGCGAGCTTGACGCGTTCCTGGCTGAGGAAAGTGACGAAGAGGGAGCAGGGGAAAAGTCTATGGCAGGTCCTTGGCTGACCGTTTCTCAACGGTAGCGGAAGCAGAAGAAGTAGAAGACGAGACTGAACTGCCTGCATCTCCCCCGTCCAAGATGCGCTCCGATTATATTGGTGAAGACGGCCGGTCTGTTCTTCGGAAACGCGACGGAAGGCGACAAGGGGGCCGACAATCTCGACAGCCTCGGCAGTCGGATCGTACTGAAGGTCGGTGGAAGCGCAATGGAGAGGGGTGGTGACGAGCGCGGTAGCGGGAGGAGCCTCAGCGACCGGATACAAGGTACCCGGGAGGGCTCGAGTCATGAACGGGGGTCCTGAACGAAAGCGCCGGCGAGGAGAAGGGGATGGCGAGGGACGAGAACGAAGACAGGGAGGCGGGCGAAGAGGGGGGTAGAAATGATGATAGGTGAGAGAAGAGGTGGTGGAGGGGGGAAGTTCAAGTAGTCGTGGTGCCCGAACCAAAGAAGACGCAGCAGGAACTGGAACGACGAACTGGACGCCTTTTTGGCGCAGGCAATGACGGCGCTAAAGCCGCTGCACTTGTTCTTTCCACGTCTTTTGAACGCCCTCCCAACTCTGTATTTATTTACTACATCTAGGGACGCTTTATATCACTGCTCTGCATCCCGTCACCAACACGAGTCCTTTCCGCGAGGAAGTAGCGTGACGCCTTTGAGAGTTTCCTGCCACACCCAATTGGCAAACATCCCTCAGCGGAACGAGTGTGCGTCGAATGGGCCCTTGAGAGGTGCACGCCGGTTGTATATGGCTACACTACTCCACATGTCAAAGGCGCTATAGTGTAGTGGTTATCACTCGAGATTCTGACTTTGATTTCTCGAAACCCAGGTTCGAACCCTGGTAGCGCCTTTAGCTGATCTCTAATCCGTAGTTCCTCTGTATTTTTTTTTCAATTTTTTTTGCCCATTGAGGCTTGCATTGAGCCCGATTTACTAGGGAGAACCACACCCGGAATAAAGAAAGAAGGTGCTATTTTTCAGTTCATTTAGGGCTGTCTAACAATCTCACGGGCCAAGAAGTTGTCAAAAATAGCCATGAGACATACAGGTTGCATATAGCCCTGGGTGAAGCTAGAGCTTTTTACTCCACCCAGATATGAAACATCTGATACCAGCGGTCGCTCCTCAATGAGAACGTCCAAACATCTTATCAGCGAAGTCACCCAGAAACCAACAGAAATGAAACTGCCCGCCGCCAGCCCGTCGGTACCAACGGATAGCATTGACAATGGCGGGGACTTCGTGGAGATGCTCGGTGTTCGTGCTCGCATCCCTCCTAGAGGGTAAGGTGCCCACCACAGCCCGTCATCCAACCATACGCTCACCGTGTTCGCTACAGGGACGCGTTCTTCAAGAGGGTGCTCCACCAGCACATTATGCCGGTCCCACCTTTCAGGAAAAGGACAGGGCCTGTCCCGGTTCCCCTCCTCGTGCTGTGTATACCCTTCACCATCGAAGACCAGCTCCGTTATGCTGACAAGCATAATCTCGCAATCGGCCAGCCAGATAACCAGTATGTACGTTGCCTGGCCGCGCTCGAACATCTTCGCCGTCGGGTCCTTCCTAGGCAGTTTTCGCGTTGGGCGACCGTGGATGACAGCAACCGTTGCGTTGTGATTGCCACCAACGAGTCAGCCGCCGACTTGGAGCTTGCATTCAACCTTGACATGATTGAGAGCACTCGGAGGCTTATGGGTGTTCAATGGATCCCGACGTGGAATACTCCCGATGTCCCTTTGCAGCAAGGATACTACAAAAACCTCTCCAGTACTGCCTGACCCGGAACTGGTAGCTTGGCCGGCGGGCCTGCCTAGGGTCCCGAATCTCACCTGGAACACCCTTCGCCAGTTTGCTGATCATGAGTGGGTAAGGGTTTGGAAGTTGGTGGACGTTCGCCTGGAGATCTATGCTCGGGCAAAAGGAGGACAGGTTCCACCACGCGAGGTACCCATGTGCCTCGCCTTCAAACTCGATCTTGATGGGCAGGACTGAGACTTCTGACTTCCTCTGAGGATCACCGTCATTCCTTTCTCTGGTTTAACCCATCCTTTCGACTTTTTCGACCAGTCACTGGGCACTTGTTTTCCTCCATCTGATATTTCAATCCTTGAACCAAAATAGTTTACCATTTGCTATAGTTCTACACTATTTCACCTTTTCTCTCCTTTCTGTAATCCAGAAGCGAATTATTTGACATCCGTTTTACGCCACAGAGTTGTAAAATATAGCGACCATGGGGTATTTAGAAACCTTGGTTTTTCATAGACACCTCAAAGATCTAACATACAAGTGGACCCGAGGTTTCAGGCTTTCAATTTCTCGAAGGGAAGCACCTGCGCAGATATCTTCAGCACGGGCGCTTGACGCACTTTGCCGAATTGCTGACTAAGCATGTGCGAGAAATCTCTGGGCTTTCTCTCGAACTCGATTACTTACCATCTCCATTCACCTTGTTCTGCAGTCCTTTCGGCTTGTTCACGGTGCAGCATCTTATCAACGCTGCCTAGTGTCTTCCAGTTGCAATGGCCGACGTCTCCGAAGCACCGCAAGAGAAAAGCAAAAACAAGCAGCATCGCAAGGACAAACGTGAGTTGGGGGCAAGCTAGACTTTTCATTCATATTTCTGATGTTGTCACTCGGAATGTAGCATGGGATACAGATGACATTGACCAGTGAGTCTTTACATATACTGAGGGCGTGTTTCCGACATCTGACAGCCGGTTTTCAGTGTAAATACTTCACTTACATTCTGAGCTCCCTCGAAGCTGACCTTCCTATAGTGGAAGGTAGATCCTTTTCAACCTGAAGACAACAAGGGTGGTACCTTTGCTGAGGAGTCGTCGTTCGCTACTCTATTTCCCAAGTACCGGGAAAAGTACCTGAGAGAGGTTTGGAGTGCGGTAACGAAAGCTTTGGAACCTCACGTGCGTCTGCTATACTCTCCCTTCCTCAAGAGTCGTTGACCGACTTGCTTGATAGGGAATCTCATGTCAACTCGATCTTGTTCACGGTTCCATGTCGGTGAAGACGACAAGAAAAGTCTACGACCCGTATATCATTCTCAAGGCTCGGGATATGATCAAGCTCATGGCGCGTGGTGTTGCGTTGAACCAGGCAGTAAAATCCTGCAGGATGATACGGCTTGCGATATTATCAAGATTGGAAGCCTCGTACGGAACAAGGAACGATTTGTGAAGCGGAGACAGAGGATTATTGGGCCAGATGGGAGTACACTGAAGGTGTGTTATCCTCTGAAGTTTGGGTTGTGGTTCTCACTGAACGGCGTCTAGGCGATCGAGCTGTTGACGAATTGCTATGTCTTGGTGCAAGGAAGCACCGTCAGTGTGATGGGCCCTTACAAGTCGCTAAAGGAGGTGCGGAGGATAGTGTTGGATTGCATGAAGAATATCCATCCTATATATCGAATAAAAGTGAGCCTCTGGACCTTCCATCAAGTCCTCTCCTAACCTTCTTAACAGGAGCTCATGATCCGACGTGAACTCGCAAAAGATCCCAAACTCGCCAACGAATCCTGGGACCGCTTCCTTCCCCAATTCAGAAAACGCCATCTCAAGACCTCTGAAAAGACGGCCAAGAAGAATGACAAGATTGCGCAAAAGGAAGAAGCTCGGAAGGCTGCTGGATTGGATACGCCTGCTGTGGCGGCGACGGCGCACAAGAAGAAAGTGTACACGCCGTTCCCACCTGCTCAGCAGCCGAGAAAGGTGGACTTGCAGTTGGAGTCTGGAGAGTACTTCCTCAAGGCGAGCGAGAAGGATGCAAAGGAGGCGGAGAAGCGGAAACAAAAGGTGCGTTGATTGCGTTGGCCTGCTCACTTTGAGTATAATACTGATTGTTCTCTCATTAGCAACTCGAGGTTACCGAGCAGCGAAAAGCAGAGAGAGCAGAGGCGTTTGTTGCACCTGCGGAACAGGCAGCACCGACGGTGGAAGAAAAGAAGAGGAAGAAAGCGTGCTGCGTTGGATATGGAGAAGGAGATGGATGCGGAGGAGGTCGATGGTGTAGAGAAGAAGAAGAAGCGGAAGAAGGAAAAGGAGAAAACGTCGACCAGACCCGTCAGAGTCGTCGTAGGTGGATACTTCATTACGTGGCGGGACAGGCATTTGACGATTGGATGTGTTGCAAATGGTATCACGGCTTGCTGGTCTCTCAGGTGGAGCTGTGAGTGAGTGGGTCGTTCGATCCTGTCCATGCATCTGGCAAACGATCGGTTCAGAGGACGTTGTAGTTGAAGCTTTAAAGGGGACTCTGCAGTGATTCTGGCAGGTTTTGGACGGACGTCGGTGAACGCTTCAGACCGAGTGTACCTTGTTCCTTGCTCCAACGTTCCTTGGTGGATGAGTAATATTAATGCTAACAGCCTTGCTGTTCATGCTACACTCCCACGAAGCGATTTGAGGCCAGTTGCGCCACACATACCCCCACTGTACATATCCTCGCAGTACATCCCGACAACTTAGCTCGTCGTCCTAGACCTATCATTCGTCCCCAACTGTCCAAATCCAATTGTCACGACTCACGAGCGCCAATTCGTTACTATTTCTCCACCCAAAAGGCGCTAAAGCCGCCGTATCACGGTCTGTCACGGTCGCGAGCAAACGGACCCAATTGAGTCATGCTGTGACAGGGCACAAATTAGGTGCGCGTTACAAACCGTGACCGTGCCACCTCATTAAAAAACAAAGGGTTACTGTTCCGACGCCCCGTCCATACCATCAAGTTTCAACCTTTGTCTCTTTTTCTTCTCAGCGCGCAAGGTCGAGATGGCGCGCGCTACACGCTCTTCAGCACGACGAGCAGACTCGAATCTGGGGACGCCGACGACAACGACGACGGCAACGCCTGCTGTTAGTGCGCAGAACTCGTCAAAGGGCGCCGATACGGACACCCCCGCTACCTCTGACCAAGATGAGATGGTTGAGGTCAAGCCTAAGAAGAGGGCACCAGTTAAGAGGACAGTCTCTGGAGGGAAGCGAAAGGTCCAAGAGGAGAGCGACGATGAGGAGAGTGGAGCCGTTGCTGAGAGCGACGAGGAGGACGTAACTGAGCCACCCGCACGACGCGCGCCCAAGCGCCGCGCCGTTGGCAACAAGGCGTACATCGAGGTACCTTCGACGGCTAGGGTGGTACAAGGCGAAGGGCGAAGGGAAAGAAGGTCAGTGCTCCGAAAGTGCCTTTGTCCTTGAACACTTGGCGCTGAACAGCATTCATAGCAGGTTGAAGCTGTCGAGACGGCCTCTCCCGCTCGGGCTAGCCCCAGGACAAAAGGAAAGGCCAAAACAGTCGTCGTTGAAGAGTCCACTCCCTCTGAAGAGGAGGAGGATGAGATTGTCGAGAGCGACGAGACGGGCTCTGAGTTTGCCATGTCTGAAGACGATGAGCAGACTGCCTATCGATTCAGAGGCAGATGAAGAGGACGACGAGATCATGCTCGAAGCTGGTCTTCGAGAGTCTCTCCAAATCAGCAGTAGCAACGGCAGGAATGGAGAGTCCTCGTCCTCCTGGAGCTCGTCGAGGACCTGGTGGAGCCGCTGAGCTCGCTGCTGCCGCTGCCGAACGTCGCATTGCGAACAAGCAAAAGGCGGTCACCCTTGATGCCGAAGAGTTTATGATGGGCTCTGACTAGCGACGAAGAGGACGGATTAGCGCTGGATTCTGGGTCGGGCTCAGATTCGGACGTGCCTTCGTCGCGTAATGCAAAGGGCAAGGGCAAGGCGAAAGGCAAGGGAAAGGCGAAAGGCAAGCAGGCAAGGCTGAGCCGACGTGGGGCGCTACTGAAGCGACGGTGAAGAAGAGCATGACTTTGGCTGACCTGAGGCGGGCGAAGAA